TTGATGGCCCAAAGTGCTTTGTGCTCTAATTCAACGGGAAGATGGCACGCCTTGCCATAGACAAGTCGAAAGGGGGACATCCCAATGGGGGTTTTGTACGCCGTACGATACGCCCAAAGTGCATCATCTAACCGTAAGCTCCAATCCTTCCTTGTTGGCCCAACGGTCTTCTCAAGTATTTGCTTGATCTCTCGGTTGGAAACCTCGGCTTGGCCATTCGTTTGAGGATGGTAAGGTGTAGAAACCTTATGGGTGACATGGTATTTCCTCAATAACGCTTCAGTGGTCCGATTGCAAAAGTGTGACCCTCCATCACTAATGATCACTCGTGGCATTCCAAACCTTGCAAAAATGTTAGTTCTAATAAAATCTGCAACCACTTTAGAATCATTAGTCCGGGTGGCCTTGGCTTCTACCCATTTTGACACATAATCAACCGCTTCAGAGCTTGAGAAGGACTTTGAGGCCAACAGGGCTCGGCTGACGGCCTTCGCTGCTAGCACACGGCACATCCAGCAACTGCAGTTCAACAAAAAGACGAGGCAGGCTGAGATAATTTTGAGCGAAGCGAAGTGGCTGGAGTTAAAAGCTGCCCTCAAGACTTTCCTCCCCTCGACCCCCTAGAAAATTATCTTTGTATTTGTTCTTTTGTTATCAATACAATGGTCTTTTATTCTTGCATTTCCCATGTGATTGGATAGTACTTTTTTAAAAACTTTCCATTAATTGGCAATTTATGAATTGAACTGGTCCGATCTCTGAGATGATATGCCCCATTGCCAAGAACTTTGTGAATAATGAATGGCCCTTCCCAATTCGGCGACCATTTACCAAACCGGGAGTCTTTAATCCCGATGGGCAACACCGTTTGCCAAACTAATTCTCCTTCGCCGAACGTTTTTTACCTTACACGCTGGTTATACGCTCGCTCGGCAATTTTCTTTTGTGCTATCAATAAGTTACCCGCGTCGATTCGATTTTCTTCCAAGTCTTCTAATTCTTGTCGCATCGCTTGACTATATTCGACACTGAACAAACTACTCTGCTCGATTACTCGTAACGAATTTATACTCAACTCGACCGGTAACATAGCGTCGTGTCCATAAGTTAACGCGTACAGAGTGGTTCCAGTGGCTGATCGGGGTGAAGTTCGGTATGCCCATAACATTTCATTTAACTTCAAATGCCACAACCCAGGCCTTTCTCTTACTGTTTTTTCGAGGATGCCGATCAACACTTTATTGCTTGCCTCGACCTATCCGTTTGCCTGAAGGTAGTACGGTGTAGATTGCTCAAGTCGGATATTCAGACTTGCCGCGTATTCCTTAAACCTATCGGCCGTGAATATGGTGCCATTGTCCGTTATGATCGTTTCTGGCATGCCGAATCTGGTCACAATATTTTCCTCTACGAAATTGCATACCTCTTTGGCCGTTAATTCGGCGTATGATCTTGCCTCGACCCATTTAGTGAAATAGTCAGTCGCTACAATTATCCACTCGTGTTTTGCCACCCCCGACAATGGTGTGATTTTGCCAATTACATCCATTGCCCATCCCTTGAACGGCCATGGCTTAGTGACCGAGTGAAGTAATTCGGCCAGGGCTCTCTGCACGGGTCCATGAATTTGGCATGGTACGCATCTTCGGGCATATTCGATGCAATCCTTTAATATACTGGGCCAAAAATAACCGTGTCATCGAAGCAACCAACACATCTTTCGTCCAGATTGGTGTGCCCCACAAATTCCTTCATGTACCTCAGCCATTGCTTGGGCAGCCTCGTGTGGGCCGAGGCACAATAGTAGTAACCCGTCCTCACCCTTGCGGTATAATTCATTTTGGTATGACACGTAATTCATGGCGAGGACCTTCATTCTCCGGTCGTGTTTCCCATTGGGGTTGTCGAGGTATCGTAGCATCGTCTTTCTCCAATTGTCTGGTTCCATCTCGACGACACATACTTCTACGGGGTCTCCTCGTTCTAGTAGGGATGGGAGCGACATCACCCTTGTGCGTATTACGTGTGCGTGCTGGAGAGTTTGCCGATTGATCAAGGCTGGGTACGACCGCAGACTTGTGGCTGCTATTCGGCCTAGCTTGCCCCCCGTGAGTTGTGCTCCGGAGGCGATCTGGGCGAGTTCGTCGGCGTCCGTGTTGTGAATACATGAAATATGTTCAAATGTAATTCGTTCAAACGACTCGGCCAGGTAGGTGGCGACCATGTGATAGGGCGCTAAAGTATAACTCATGCAACGAAACATGCCATTTAGTTGGTTAATCATAAGTTCAGAATCACCGAGGACGAGAACGTGGGAGGCCCGTAGATCGTGTAAAACGTGGAGGCCGATGATGAGGGCTTCATATTCGGTAGTGGTCGGGTGACTAAATTACAATACCAACACCCGCCGAGGTCGAAGTATTGGAACCATTAAAATGCATAGTCCAATGGTTATCACGTGTTGGGACCAAACCGATGTCGACGTCGTCTCCCCCAAAACCATAAGGGGAAGGGTGTTGGGCCAAGAAGTCGGCGAGGGCTTGCCCCTTGACGGCCTTTTGGGGTACGTACTGAAGGCTGAACTCGGATTAGGCGAGCGTCCATTTCCCGATTCGACCTTTGACGATGGGTCGAGTGAGCATGTAACGAATTACGTCTGTTTGGGCGATGACCTGCGTAACTGATGGGAGCATGTAGTGCCGAAGCTTAGATGCGGCAAAAAACAAAGCTAAGCAAAGTTTTTCGACAAGTGAATAATTGAGTTCTGGTGGATTCAGATTATGGCTGAGATAAAAGACAGCTTGTTCACGCCCTACATTGTTATCTTGCGCGAGGAGACAACCAATGGATTCAGCGGCTGCCGAAATGTATAATTTAAGGGGTTTGCCGCGACAAGGCGGAATTAGCACGGGTGGGGTGGAAAGGGCCACCTTGATTTGCTTAAATGCATTTTGATGCTTTTCGCGCCATTTAAATTTGTCGGTATCCTTAAGTTTAAGGAGCGTAGAGAATGCCTTCATCTTACCGGCCGAATTGGCGATGAAGTGGCGAAGGAAATTTATCTGCCCGAGTAATGACTGGAGCTGTTTCTTTGTTGTCGGAGGTGGGGCGCTAATGATTGCGCGAGCTTTATTTTCATCGACTTCAATGCCGCGATGGTGCACCAAAAATCCTAAGAAATTACCGGTCGAAACACCAAAGGCACGCTTGGCCGGGTTCATTTTGAGATTATTCTTGCGCATGTGAAGGAACGCTTGCCGCAGATCATCCAAGTGCGTTTGGCGGCGTTTAGACTTTACCACCACATCATCGATATAAACTTCGACGATTGTACCGATTAAGTCGTGGAATATCATATTCATGGCTCGTTGGTATGTGGCGCCGGCATTCTTGAGGCCGAATGGCATGATCACCCATTCGTAAGTACCGAGTGCCCCCGGGCAACGGAAAGTCGTCTTGTGGACGTCGGCTTCGGCGATGAAAATTTGGTTGTAACCCGCATGGCCGTCTATAAAAGATAGCAATTCATGATTAGCTGCGGCATCAATTAGCAAGTCTGAGATTGGCATTGTATATTCATCCTTGGGAGTGGCCAGATTTAGATTACGGAAATCGATGCAAATGCGAAGGGCTCCGTTTTTCTTTAACACTGGGACGATATTGGCCAACCATTCGACGTACCAAGCTGTCCTAATAAACCCGATTTTTAGAAGCCGAACTAATTCCTCTTTGATGCCAAGTTGTACCTCGATCGAAAATCGGCGAGGGGGTTGTCGAAAAGGCTTACACCCATCCTTGATGCGTAGCTCATGCTCTACAAGGTTTCGATCGAGGCCTGGCATTTCATGGTAGTTCCACGCGAAGCAATCTCTAAATTGCTGGAGTAATTTATGGAGTTCGACCTTCATAGACGGTGGGAGTAACGCGCTGATAAACAATGTTCGAGGATCATCGGCCGTGCCTACATTAACTTCTTCTAATGGGTCCTTAACTTGGGGCCGATTGTCTTCGAGTTCGGCTGGTGCGGCCTGACCTTTATCAAAAGATAGAACGGGGCCGTTATCCACTTCGGCCAAAAATTCGATTAAATTGATGCCGGAATTTGGTTGCTTGGTAATGGCGTACCAATGGGCCAGCAGACGTTCCATTGTCGATGAAACCACAGCCTGACGCCGTTCTTGCTTGGTGTTATCAATCATCGGCATTGGTGACTAAATCTGCCAAGCCAAGTCTCGCCGAATCCTGTTGGACAGTCTCGGCGCCGACCTCAATAACTTTCTGTACCAAAATTCTCGTCAGCCGCCCATCCTCGTTAAGGCCTTGGAGGGTGATGTAGTCGACGTGATCATCGTAATAGCGAGCCTGAATCATGTTGGTTTCAAATGGTTGATTATCGGCTGGGTATACTACGACCGATTTGCCATCCCAAAAGATGAGAACTTGGTATAGTGATGAAGGAATGCAACTGGTTTGGTGGATCCAATCGCGGCCAAGTAATGTGTTATAGTCGGTTTTGGAGTCAATTATAAAGAATGCCGTCATGTGGTGACGACCCGCAATGCTGACTTCCAACGGGAGCACTCATTTGGTCTGAGACTTGTCACCAACGAAGCTGCTCATAGTGATACTTGACGGGATGAGTTCATTATCAGAACGGCGTAGAGCCTTCATGACGGACATCGGCATAATGTTGACTGTGGCTCTACAGTCGACAAACACTTTAGAAATGGGAAATCCTTCGATGTGAGCCGTGACGTATAACGGCTTGAGGTGTTGGAGATTAACCGAGGAGGAACAGGGAAATAATTCGGCCAAAGCTGCCTTAAGGTTGTCCTCGTTTCGGACTTCCTTATCGTCGTCGTTTGCGACGAAATCTACTTGTGTTGCTTCTTCAGCAACCACGTCCCTGTCCAAGAAATTTGACTGGTGGGTACTTGGTTGGAACTCAGTTGGTAGGACGTGGACCATACTGATCTCCATATGTTCAAGGACCGAGGGACCCATCGGATCGTGGTCGTCGTCTTTCACAGAAGTAACCATAGTAGCAGTTGGCGGAACATCCTTAATCGAACTTTTGAGTGCCTTGGTGTGGACCGGCAACTGAGGCGTGTTGACCGAGTCGAGTTTGTTTTGGCTATTTTCCTCGACTATGTTTATTGCCGAAGATTTATTGTGGTCCAGTGTTTTACGAGCTCGTTCTTCATAGGCGATACGGGCGTTCCTCGTGTCTAAATATGTATCCAATAGTGCTATCCTTTTTTCCTCGTCGGCTGTGAGGCCGAAGAGAGATACAGCCGAGAAAACTTCAAAATGATAGCGTAAATGCTGAAGGTCTTCGAGTGAAAAGGGTAATTCGGCATCGTCAATATCTGTGTAAGGATCGACCTCAAAACCAAGGACCCGAGCCTCCCGTATATGTTGGAATCTAGCTTTGATTGCTGGGTCGGAAGTTTTCTGAATAATTTGCTCGGCATCAGGGCAAGTTAGAGCTAGGTCGAGGGCTTCCTGACACGCCCTGAGTAGTTCGTACAGGTCATTGGCGGAATATTTCTTATGAAACTCTCGCATGTACTCCAGGGATTCACCGAGGAATGGAGGGTGTAAATTACGTCGTATTTTGATGAACGGCTTGCGCGGTGGTAACGGAGAAAGTTTGCTTTCGGCCTCTTGTCTAAAATGCTCGAGACGAGCTCTCATCTCCCCAGGCCGGAGAAGAAGCTTGATACGTTTCTCAGACTCTTCAATAGTGATTTCAAAGCCGGGAGCCGCTACTTTTCTCCCTTCGACTAACTCGGTCATGAAAGTCGGGGTTGGCCGTTCACTAATGCTTTCCACATCCTTTTTTGGTTGCCACCGGTTGGCATGGCTGGTCTGCACTTCTCGTCGTTGAGCCATGCAATCTATCTGTTGGCGACGACGTTTTTGAGATTTAGACAACACCGTATATAAGCCAGTCGGAGAATTGTAACTATACCAGCGTTGATCCGATGTCTTAGGTGGTTTGAAAGTTTTTCGATCGGCTGGGGAGCCCAAACTGCTGGTATTACGCGAGTAATAATCCTCATTATAGAAAGGTACGTCGAAGTCAAGACGCCGCCTGACTGAGGCCTGGTCTTTTGGTCGTACCTGTGGGCCAAGTCTCTCAAACACTTGGCGTCGGGGACCATTACCAAGTTCCCTTGGTGATGTTGTAGGGGCCGTGGATGGTGTCGAAGATGTCTGCTTCCCAGGTTCGACTGGTGTTTTACAATGGTCGCATAAAACCCTTGATTCATGAGTTTCGTCGGAAGTCGACCCCGTCATAGGCTCATCGATGGTGTGGCCCCAAGCGTTCTGTAGGTGGTGCATTTGAAAATAAATCAATCTTTAGTCTTGTTTGACCATTCCGTTTACGGATATGCTGCACCGGGACGTATTCGGTCTTCCCTTTTTCTTTGTTTTTAGGAAGATGAGCATCCACCATACCAATTGTTGTTGAAGGGAAGGGATTGACGTCGACTGCCATCTGCTTCTCCGAGAATTTTAACTTTCCTTTCTTGATCTAACTTTGAATTGTGTCTCGGAATACAACACAATTATTGGTTGCATGCTTATTAGAATTATGATACTTGCAGTATATCTTGCCCTTCAATTCGTCGGCCTTAGGGATAACGTGCCCTGGCTGAAGCTTGATGATTTTTGCTGCTATTAATTGATCAAAAATTGCATCGGCTTTGGTGATATCGAAAGTGTATACTTTTGATGTTTTGCTCATTTCCTCGGCGACCAAACGGGTCTTGGCGTCTTTGGAACTCACTTGAGTTAAGGCCTTGCAGACATAAGGTTTCTCTATTACTATCTCGGCCGCGTCCACACTAGCATACTGAGGGTCCTCGCTTTAGGCCAATGCATAGCTAACCGTGGGATTCTTATACAACATTCCCCGGGATGGTGACTTTGATATCTTTTATTCTCGGAGCAAATAATCATACTGCTCAACGTGTTGAGCAAGTTCGTACATATCTCGAATGTTTGCCCTCAGAAACTTCTTTTTGTATTCCACGTCCAATCCGTTAAGGGCGATCCTGACGAATTCCACTTCGGGGAGAGGTACTCGGCACCAATTCCTGGCCGACTTAAACCTCTTTAGGTATTCCATTGGAGATTCGTCGGACGCTTGAGCCATCCTGGCCAACGATGATACGAACATTTCCATCCCTAGCCGATAGAATTGTTCATGGAATTTCTCGACTAACTCTTCGCAACTCTGCACGGAGTTGGGTGGGAGATTAATGTACCAAGCGAAAGCTGAGCCTTTTAGTGAAAAATTAAACAGCCATAATTTATAGAAGTCGCTATTCACGTCTCCACACTGTGCTGTGAACTAAGCCATATGTTCTAATGAGGATAAAGACGATTCCCCGGTGAAGAGACTGAAATTAGGGATCTTAAAACCTCGCGGGTATTCAAACCTTTCTACATAAGCCGGGTATGGATGAATGAATTTTGGAAACTTCGGCCCCTTCTTTAGGGCCAAGTCAATCATTCTCTGGACTTCGGTCATGTTTACGGAGGCGGCTTCTTCTCCCTGGCTTGGTCCCTCGGATCTATTGCCCGGTCCACCTCTTTTATCTAAGGTGATTGGTTGTGGCCGGGCGGACCCTTTCTCGGCTTGTATTGGAACATATGTAGAAAGCTGCCGAGGCTGGCCGACCTGGCCATCTTCGAAGGCTTTACTAAGGTGATTGGTTTGTGTGTCGTTGTTACTTCGTATTGCATCCAGTAAATCATTCATCTTTTGACCAATCGACTGCTCAACCTGTCGATACTGTTCATCAAGTCGTCTCTGAAGAAACGACCTAGTTGGTGGATTAGAACCCTCCCCACCATCGTCGTCGCAATCTTCCACTATTCCTTCAACGAACATGCCTGCTGTTAGGTTAGGGACTTCTGAGTTGTGGGGTTGTCCGCCAAGGCAGATTTCATTCTCTCGGCGTGTCGCGCTTGTGGCCTCGGGCGGTGCAATAATGATCGGATTTTTTGCAGGGTGCAAATCCTGCCCAAGGCCTTGCACTGGTAAGTCAGCTGTTGATTTCCCATGATTGTTTTCTTCTTTACAAACCGTATCTCAATGGTCATGAACTCCGAAGGTTTAGCACAATGGTCCCACCGGGCGTGCCAAAATGTTAACTCTAAAAATTACAAAACCTACGTGGCGCACAGGCCGAGTAACTAATAAGCTAACTACGTCCTTCGGTTGAATGTGGGGCGTGCCAACTCGTCGGCCGAGCTCAGCCGAGGAGTAAAATTCGTTGATGTCGTGTTGAGCGCGTCGTTGACTTCTCTATCTTGCGATTGCGACCAAGGAAGGAACCCTCTCGATCTCTGGGCTCTATAGCCTGAAGGCAAGGCTACTAATTCTGCGAAGTTCACAAATCGTTGGAGCCCGATTCGGTCACTGTGATTATATTCGTAAGAGTATAAGCACGTCGAATCGAGACCAAACTATATGGACACAGGTACTCAAATGTGATGTATGTCTTGATGGTAAATGTAGTTCGGCCGTCGGAATGCCGAACTCTGAAACTTACTTGCGAGTATCCAATCATAAAATCATTCGGTGTCCAGTACGCCGAATAACACAATTCTTAACACCTGACTATGTCGAGAAGACTAGCAAGGTGACCTCTACTAACAAAGGTTCGAAAACCCTTCTCGGCCGAGACTTGGATAGGTAACCGGTCGGCCTCGACGCAGTGCTGTTTATCCAAACTGAAGGTGCCTCTCGGTCGGCTGATTCTGCGGCAACAGTACTGCTTATCCAAACTGAAGGTGCCTCTCGGTCGGCTGATTCTGCGGCAACAGTGATGTTTATCCAAACTGAAGGTGTTCGCCAGGTGCCTCCACAGTGCTGTTTATCCAAACTGAAGTTATGTCGGCAGAAAAGGAAAAGGAAAAAAATCTCAAGGTAGTTGAGAGGTTTTGCGCAGGGCAATTGTATGCTGGATCGAAGGTCCCTTTTTTGTTGCATGATTTCTTGTATTTATAGCACCTCATTCCTTGAGACCGAATTGCATCCTTATCTGGATTGGGAGTCCTTGTCCCGTTTCAACTCTATCTCGAACAAACCTACTCCCACTAGGACTTTGAACTTTCCCCTTTTCCGAGGCTTTATTCTTTGCCGGCCAGGAATCCTTGTCTCACCAGGACTTCCTCGATCCTTTCTGTTTATCTGGACTACTTCTTAGGATAGGACTCGACCGACCCTACCAACTGGCCCGGGATTTATCACTCGGCCCATAGCATTTGACACAGCCTTGGGCCAAGCACAACCTGCTGCTCAGCCCAACAATATTATTTTGGGCCCAAACAGGTGCGCAGGTCGAGTAACTAATAAGCTAACTACGTCCTTCGGTTGAATGCGGGGCGTGCCAACTCGTCAGCCGAGGAATAAAATTCGTTGATGTCGCGTTGAGCGCGTTGTTGACTTCATTATTTTGCAACTACGACCGAGGAAGGAACACTCTCGGTCTTTGGGTTCTAGAGCCTGAAGACAAGGTTGCTAGTTTTGCGAAGTTCACAAATCGGCGGCGCCCGATTCAGTCATTGTGATTATATTCATAAGAGTATAAGCACGTCGAATCGACACCAGACTATACGGACACAAGTATTCAAATGTGATGTATGTCTTGATGGTGAATGTAGTTCGGCCGTCAGAATGCCGAACTCTGAAACTCATTTGTGAGTATCCAATCATAAAATCACTCGGCGTCTAGTACGTCGAATGACGTAACTCGTAACACCTTACTACGCCGAGATGGCTAATAAGGTGACCTCTGCCAACAAGGATTTGAAAACCCTTCTCGGCCGAGACTTGGATAGGTAACCAGTCGGCCTCGACGCAGTGCTGTTTATCCAAACTGAAGGTGTTCCTCGGTCGGCTAATTCTACGGCAACAGTGCTGTTTATCCAAACTGAAGGTGTTCGCTGGTTGCCTTTACAGTGCTGTTTATCCAAACTAAAGGTGTGTCGGCAGAAAAAGAAAAAGAAAAATCTTAAGGTATTTGAGAAGCTTTGCGCAGGGCAATTGTATGTTGAATTGAAGGTCCTTAATTATTGCATGACTTCTTTTATTTATAGCACCAGCTCTTTGAGATCGAATTAAACCCCTATCTGGATTGGGAGTCCTTGCCCCGTTCCAGCTTTGCTTCAAACAACCTTACTCACTTTGAACTCACCCCCTTTCGGGGCTTTATTCATTGCTGGTCAAGAATCCTAATTGTACCAGGACTTCCTCGACCCTCTTTGTTTATCTGGACTACTCCTTTTTGCGATGGGACTTGACCATCCTTGCTAAATGGCTCGAGACCATCAGGCCGCCCATAGTATTTTGACACAGCTTTGGGCCGAGCACAAACCTACACTCGGCCCAACAATATTATTTTGGGCCCAAACAGTAGCTCAAGTGAGTAACTTGAATTCAGCAGCTATAATGAGTGGCTTCCATGTGATTAAATATCGATGCCGAAAGACGGCGTCAAAAGAATAACAAACAACATGTTTACTAACGTAGTGAAGGATTCATTTGACGAGTTGTTTTTGCCGAGTTACGTATGTACTCGGTGAGCAAATAGTCGGTTGGCGTCAAATTTTAGTAAAAAGGGCTTTAAAACCATTACCCCATTTTTGGTGGCTTAGTTGGTTACACCTGGTGGAATGCATATTGGGTATAGACGCAAGCAACAGCCAGAAACAAAACCAAGTTAATATTGGTGGCTTTAGTCGATAAAAGAGTTGATATGGGTGGTCTGTATTGGTGGCTAATAGTAGCAGTGATTTCTCGGTTTGATTGTCCTCAGCCATATAGCTCGATCGAATCTCACTTCCGACCCAATCTTGGTGGTTACTCGATCCTCGATTATTGGTGGTCTGATCATTCAGAATTTTAGATAAACTGCATTCGACCGAATCCCACAACTGCCGACACCTTGCCATTTCGACGAACTCCGACCCTTGACTTAAATCTTATACTCGGCCGTCGTAAGATGAGTAGACTTGGTTGGCGGTGTTAATTCGTTGCCGAGTTTAACCATATAGTAAGCCGAGCTCGGCAAGGAAGAAGGTCTCATCGCGACAGTTAGCAGTTCAAAGAGAGAATACACAGCACCGCACCGAGAGGACAACTAAATCCCCGAGTCTCTGCGAATTCGATTGGTCCATCGAAAATCTGCTTAAGACACCTAGTCAATTGTTTGGTGCATTAGTCTATTTCCGAACTTGGTTGCACTATAGGACAAGTCGAGCAGTACTAACCTATTCGGACATTCTTCTAGTTTTACAAAATTGTGGCCTGGCAGGCGTGCCAATTTCCAGTTGGAAGCAGCCCAGATTGTTTGGAGAGGATGTCAAATGTCCTTAATGGTAGCACACCTCAGCCTATAACTCGAGCTCGGCGGTATCGATTCTTTTCTAGGTTTGCTGGGCTATGTTGCAAGTTCGGCGATATCATCAACCCATTTGGCGGCATCGGTGCCGATCTTAATGTTCACCATGGATGGTGGTGTTCCCATTATCTCCCTTAAGCGCCATGAGAAGTGGGTTAAAGACCTCCAATCGTTGTCTGGCCGAGGGAAAAAGTGATTACAACATTTATGATTGATGGCAGGCCAAACTACGGATTCTCAGTTTCTGCCGAGCTTGTATAAGAGAACGTTGGTAGACGAGAAAGACCACAATGGCAGAACAGGGGTATTAATATTATTGTCGAACAAGGGTATCATTGCTTAGGAAACAAAATTTCTTTTTCGGCGATACAACGAGGTTTACTAGCTAACAAACAATTAATTTCCTTAACCATTCGGCTTACGAGCCAAAGTTCAAGGAAACTGGGGGGGCAATGTTTGGACTCAAAATTACAGAATCGGCCTGAGTGATCGAGGCTGTTAAATAAGCGAATTCTAAACTGTTGGATTTACTAAGCTAATTTTTTAATTATTATTTAAAGGATAACATTATGATTTTTTTAAACATATATTTATCTCTTAAATGATATATTAAAATTATCTATATAGTTATCTAGAGCACATCAGGTAGGCATGCAAAATAGGATACTGGAGAATATGTTTTTCTTTTGTGGTGTTGCTTTGGCCACGTGAATCATGCATCATTAGGACTCTTGATACAAAGTGGTATTTGGTGGAAGATGGTATCTCGAGTGATAAGCTGATATTGCAATCAAATTGTAATTTCCTTTGCATGTATGGCTACACCTGGACATATGTCATGGAAAAAGAAGGCTTTATAGTCGCATTGGGAGTCTTAATGGGATAAAGCAAGGTTACTGATGGAGTTCTGATGATGATGTGATAAGCCTTGATAGACTTTTGTTTTGTTTGAGAAGGCATAGATAATAGTCTGAAGGATAGCCCTCTGATAAAGATAAATTTTCTTTCTGCGAGTTTGAGTTACAGTTGGACTTTACAAAATTATCAGGCTGTGCCAAGCAGAAAATATGATGTTATAAATACAAGTGCTCTGCAACAGAAAAAGCCCCTTCCAATTCAACACACAAACTTCCCTGCGTAAACTCTCGTTGTACGTGAAACCTCCCAACAACCTTGAGATTTTTATTTCTTTTTCTCGCCGACCCATCTTCAGTTTGGATAAATAGCACTGGAGTCGTAGAATCAGCCGATCAAGGAGCACCTTCAGTTTGGATAAACAACACTGCTTCTCGCCCGACTGATTACCTATCCAAGTCTCGGTCGACAATGATTTTTGAGTCCTTGTTGGTAGATGTCATCTCATCAGCCTTCTCGGCGAAGTGAGGTGTTACCAAGTTACTACATTTGGCACATTGAAAGTTGAATCTAATATTGAACTTCGCAAAACTAGCAGCCTTGTCTTCAGGCTCTAGCACCTGAAGGCCGAGGCGTGTTCCTTCCTCGGCCATAGTCGAAAGACTAAGAAGTCAGCAATGCATTTTACTCCCCTGTCGAGCTCGGATGACGAGTTGGCACGCCCTGCACACAACCGAAGGACGTAGTTAGGTTATTAATTACTCAGCCTGCGCGCCACGTAGGCTTGGTAGTTTTTAGGGTCAACAAATAGATTACAATATACTTAGCCGGATTATAAAATGTACAAATTAAATAGACAACTTCGACCACCATAATTAGAAGGCAGGTTCTATCCTAAAGATCTTGGATGGCCTTGTGAACAGCCTTTAGGTGCTCGTTCTCATCATACTTACTACCATTTATGATGATGTCATCCACTTATGAGGGAAAAATGTTGTTCCAATCACAGCCCTGTTGTTACCATGGAGAAACGAACGTATTTCTCAAAGCCATAATGGAAAGCCTAGTCATAGCCTTCTTGGAGCTTCTTTGTCACCTATAACTTGATTGAGAACTTCCTCTTCTTTTTAGAACCAATTGGTTGATTTGTACAATGCTTTTATCAACTTTTGGTTTAACGCAACCAATGTGGACTATTCTTCCATGCATTTTTGTTGCAAAACAGTTACGGTACTTGAGTTAGCCCAAATTTTGTTCTTCGCTTTGGCAATTTTATCGACGGATCATCAAAATCACAATCACGTCCGGAATCACATGACATTTGAGCTTGCCATGGTGGTAAGGGCATGCTGGATGATTTTTTTATTTTTTTATTTTTTTTTTGAACAATTGACTTTTTGGTGGGATTTGGAACAAGTTTCTTCCAATGTATCTGTCTCAGTTGCCCTAGCTTATTCTTATAGGCAATCATGTAAAGTGATTAAATGCTACACCAAAAAAAACTGGATGGAATTGACTGACAAATAACGTTCTAGCGTAGGTCTATGAGTGTATGTGAAAAGTTGTGTAAAGAAGTCATTCAGTCAATTTACAACCAGTTGGTTCTCATTTTGCCTTCCAATTTAGTCACAATTTTCTTTAACAACATAAGAATGTGTTTGGGCCCAAAATAATATTATTGGGCCGAGCGTAGGTTTGTGTTCTGCCCAAAGTGTTTTTAAATGTACTATGGGCTGTTTGGTGGTCCTAAGCCGCTCAGTTAGGGTGGTCGAGTCCTATTGCAAGAATGAGTGATTTGGATAAGAGCGGAAGGGTCGAAGTCCTAGTACGATAAGGGGTCCTAATACAATGAGGATTCTTGGCCAGAAATGAATAAGGCCTGAAAAAGGGGGGGGGTAAGTTCAAATTCCTAATAGGAGTAGGATTGGTCGAGATAAGGTTGGATCAGAATAAGAAGTCCTAGTCCGAAAATGGTTTCAACTCGATCTTAAGGAGGATTTGTTGCTATAAATAGAAAGCAAAGTACATCATTCAAACCCCCTCCAATTCAACACACAATTGCCTTGTGCAAACCTCTCAAACATCTTGAGATTTTTTATTTTCTTTTTCCGCCGACACATCTTCAGTTTAGATAAACAGCACTGTGAAGGCAACCGGCGAACATCTTCAGTTTGGATAAACAACATTGTTGCTGTAGAATCAGCCGACCGAGGAGCACCTTTAGTTTGGATAAACAACACTGCGTCGAGGCAGACTGGTTACCTATCCAAGTCTCGGTCAAGAAGGGTTTCCGAATCCTTATTGGCAAAGGTTATCTTATTAGCCTTCTCGGCGAGGTAAAGTGTTACAAGTTACAACATTTGGCACATTGAACGTCGAGGGATTTTATTATTGGATACTCATAAGTGAGTTTCAGAGTTCGGCATTCTGACGGCCGAACCACATTTACCATCAAGACATACATCTCCTTTGAGTACTTGTGTCCATATAGTCTTGTGTCGATTCAACGTGCTTATACTCTTATGAATATAATCATTGTGACCGAATCCGGCGCCGACGATTCATGAACTTCGCAGAACTAGCAACCTTGTTGTTAGGATCGAGAACCCGAAGGTTGAGACTTGTTCATTCCTTGGCCACAATCGCAAGATCAAGAAGTCAGCAATGCGCTCAACGCAACATCAACAAATTGTACTCCTCGACCAAGCTCGGCCGACGTGTTGGCACGCCCCGCATCAACCGAAGGACGTAGTTAGCTCCTTAGTTACTCGGCCTGCGCATCATGTAGGCTTGGTAGTTTTTAGGGTCAACACGTACATTTGGACTTCTTTTAACAAACCATTGACAAAAAAAAAAGAAAAAAAAAAAAAAACTATCTCCTCCATCCAATATACTAAAAAATACAAGCAATAAATCAAACAACTTGGAATTGTATCCAAAGAGAAGGTTCATGTTAACTTGAAATAAATTCCTATTAATTTGTATTTGTATCTCCGGCTAGATATACATGCACAAAATAAGTACAATTGCTATTCTTGCAATTTTCCGGCCACCAATTATACGAGTTCTCGACCAAAGAAAACAAAGACGGCGAAAGACCTTGTTGCTTTGTTCAGTTATGAGAAGAGGGAGAGGAAGGAGATACACGAGGATTCCAAACACCTTTTTAATGAGAAAACATGAAAACACCGAGTGGAGTTTAGCCACTGTCACTGAACCAATTTTCTCATATCAAATGGACCACAGAATTTAGAACTTGAAGCTGAAATATTGGATACTTGGATATAGATAAATCTTGTGGATACGATCTCGTTCTTGTATTGTTGGAGCAAAAATTTAACTTAACATGAACCCTAATCACATGTTAATCTATATGAGTAGAAGACTTACCTGTTGAAGACATGGTGGTTGTAAAAGAACTCTACTACTCATTTAGAGACCTTTATATTCTAATGGTGATAGACCCCGAACATAGAACACTTTCTCTATGAGCAGGGAATTCATTTATACGATGCAATGATAGCCAACTTCCATCTATCGTGGAGGGTTGGTTGTTCACCCGTTGCACCAAATCCCAATCGTGTATGAAGTGGCTTTAGAAGCACGTGGGATCTATTACCTCAATTATAGGATGTTGGTTTTACACGTATTCAAACTCTAATGATTTGCATTACCAACATATTACTTCTACTTTATCACAACTAGCTGAGTCCACATAGGATTCTTACATGTATATCTATACTACTATTGATTTATATGCTTGCAAGTTTAATTTGTGATTTCTGAATTCTCTTTTTCAGGTTTTTAGAATTCCACAACGACGCCCTTGGATGATATTTTGTGCTTCAATCCGACAGAAGACGAAATGCAGAGAATGCAAATTGTTAACGATTGACGAACAAATTAAGAATTATGCAGCTTTCTTAATGAAGAAAAGAATTGTATTAAGACAGCCTTCATATTCACTTCGTCAATCTAATCGATCGCCTTATGTCAGGTAATAATTCTTGTTTCTACCCTAATTCACAGAAGAAATTTCCCAAGAAGTCTACCCTCCTCTTCCCTAGTGTACCAGTAGTGTACATGCATGCAGGTGAATCATATCGTCATATCCTTACAAAGAAAATACTGAGCTCAGGCCCATTATTCCCTTCAGGACTCAACATGTACAAAGTTTCTGAGTCTTTTGAGCCAACAACACGCTCAAAGAGGGCCCGCATATACACCATTTCGCCATCCGGACCCTCTACCTCGGACTTCCCGGGCAACACACCTGCGCCCATAGTCACTGCCTTGAGAAGTTCCATGACGTTCAAGTCCTCCTCTGTGGCCTCCCTCTTCACTCCATACCCTGTCTTCTTCCCATTGCAGTATATAGTCCACACCGGCTCGTCAATAAGCCTCGTCTTCTCCTTGTCCGCTCTCTTCTCGCATTCCAACGCGATTCTAACCATCCCTGACCCCATCTCCTTCTGTAGCACATTTGTCTGCATGGCCAGCTCCACCACAAGGCTCGGAAGACACCTAGGGGTTTCTTGTACCGAAAGAGACACGCGTCCCTTTCGGTACCCAAACAGCGTGCCGCTGACCCGAGTGCCGGAGGAGATGGCCCGGCTAGAGTCGAGCCTGCCCATCGGGAGTGATGGCATCTTGCAGGTGGGGGTGATGATGGGGAAGGATCGGAATACAGAGCGAAAGACGCGGAAGACTTTGGTTTTGCTTTTCTTTTTATGACATGGTTCGAGAAGGGAGGATTGCTGGCGGGGAAGTGGCGGTGGTGGCGGGACTGTAGATGACGAGGATATTGTTGTGGCTGCTGCCGTCGTCTGATCGTCTTGTGATATTGGAGATTTCGGCTCCCCCATTAATGGCTTTGCTGACGAACCAGGAATGGGAGAATGCCATGAGAGAGAGCACACAGAAGAGAGAGAGAAACAAAGCGTACTAGCTAGATTAGACGGGGAGGAGAGAGAGAGGGCGGGGGTGAGGAGAGTAGAGAGAGAGAGGCTGAGTCTAGTCATTATGGTTGTTATGGGATTTGTGGTTTTGGTTGTGTTTGCTAAGCCTAAATTCCGGCCGTTGACCACATCTCTATTTAGCCTTTACTATTTGGTATTATACCTTGTAATACTCTCGAGGAGGACCTTATAAACGTGTACATCAAGTTTCATTTAATCTATGAGTAACGCTACTTTTATTTTACTTCCTTCGATCAATTCTTATCACTTCTCCTTTTATATAATTCTGTTGTAAGCTTATTTGATTGAACTGTATAAAGGACAGAGAGGGGAGAGGGGCTGGCGGCAACAGAGAGAAAATAGAGATATGTAATTCTGAGGTGTGTGTTGTATCACTTCCTTATCCCTTTATTTATAGTAGTAGAATAGGTAGAATCCTTACCCTAATAGGATTACATCTCTAATAGGAATTAAACTACTAAAGGGAATATACAAGATACTCCTAGATACACTAGGATAAACACAATCACATTCTTAATCCAATAGGACTGCAACACTCCCCTTTGAGTGTGTAAATACTCAAACAAATCCAATGGGACTGCAACACTCCCCCTTGAGTGTGTAAATACTCAAACAAAACGTCGCATCAGATCTTCAGCAGATGAGGTAGAATTGTTAATGAAGTCGTCGGCACAACAGATGAATGTGAGTCTCAAATATAAGAAGGTAAGTATGCATGGGTAGTAAAGCTCACAAAACCTTGCTATGGTAAAACCCAAGGCATAGGGAAAACCCATAGACTAAGGAGGAAAGTGAGAAGTATGCATAATGTCTAAAACAAACGTCAAACAGGACGAAAGTAGTGAACTCAACAGAGTATGATCATCCCAGGATGGGTGCCTCATCAAAACCTCGTTAGGTAGCAAAAACCCAGTAGGAAAAATGCTCCTAATCGTAGCGAGTATGCTTTAGGATACTCCCCCTAAGTTAGACATAACTTCCAAATAAGAGAACTACAAGCAATTCAACTCAGATAATTTATGCATACCGATTCCTTGGACGAGCTTCTGAAAAGTAGACTTAGGCAATGACTTGGTGAAGAGATTGGCCAGGTTGTCATGGGAACGGATTTGCTTGACTTCAATGTTTTGATGCTGTTGTTGCTAGTGAGAATAAAAGAACTTCGGTGCTATGTGCTTTGTGTTGTCTCTCTTGATGTATCCCTTCTTTAACTGCTCGATACATGCTACATTGTCTTCAAAGATCATTGTAAGAAGGTTAACGATGGAAGTAAGGCCATTAGTGCTTCGAATATGTTCCATAGTTGCTTTCAACCAAAAACACTATTGCGAGGCTTCATGCAAGGCAAGAGTCTCATTATGGTTCGAAGAAGTCGCAACTAGCGTTTGCTTGGTAGACCTCCAAGATATAGTGGTGTCTCCAACGGTAAAGACATAGCTTGTTTGAGAACGTGCCCTATGTGGGTTAGACAGATAACCAACATCTGCGTAACCAACAAGATGAGAATCAACCCGAGGATCAAGAAGGGCAGTGGCTCTTTTTGAGGATTCATGGGTGTAGAACAAGCCCAAATCCGTCGTACCTTTGAGGTAGTGAAAAATGTCTTTAACACAATTCCAGTGTCTGTGTAAGTGCGTTGTTGTATCTAGCTAAAAGATTAACATCGAAGGAGATGTCAGGTCTAATGCATTGAGCCAAGTACAATAAAGCACCAATTGCACTTAGGTATGGAACTTCAAGCTCCAAAATCTCTTCCTCATCCTCATTTGGACAGAAAGGATCTTGTTTAGCATCTAGAGTTCGAACAAATATAAGAGTAATCGAAGGCTTCACTTTATCCTCATTAAAACCTCGCAATACCTTTTGGGTGTAGTTTGATTAATGTACTAGGATTCCATCCAAACAATGCTCGATCTCAGGCTGAGACAATATCGAGTTTTCCCAAGATCTTTCATCTCAACTTCTGATTTCAAGTGAACGGCAATTTCCTCAAGCTCTGCGGGAGTTCCGATGAGGTTCATGTCGTCAACATTAACTGCAAGGTGACTTCTTAATGAACACACATGGGCATAGTTCATTGTTCACATAACCCTGACTTGTCAAATATTCATTCAGATGGTTATACCACATATGTACGGATTGCTTCAATCCGTAGAGTAATCTCCTCAATCTAATTGAGAGAGTGTTCCGTGGTCTAGAACTATTTGAACCAATCAATGGAAGTCCTTTTGGAACTTTCATGTATATTTCCATATCTAGATCCGCATAGAGATACGCAGTTACCACGTCCATAAGCTGCATATTCAGTTTTTGGGAAACTACCAAACTGATAAGGTAGTGGAATGTAATGATGTTCATTACTGGGGAATACGTTTCTTCGTAACCAATCCTAAGGCACTGAGAGAAGCTTTGTGCTACAAGGCGTGCTTTGTATGGCACTATTTCATTTTTCTCATTATGCTTCCTCATGAAAACCCACTTGTAGCCCATTGCTTCACATGTGGTGGAGTAGGAGCTACAGGCCCAAATACCTTACTGTTTCGCGAGCGAATCGAGTTCGACCTGGATTGCTTATTTCCAGTTTGACCAATTCGTTCTACGTTGACATTCATCAACGGAATGTGGTTCAATGCCATCGCTAAGCATGATGTCTGAAGCAACGGTATACGTGAATGCATCATCAACAATTATCTCACTCTGATTCCAAACGTCATCCAATACTGTGTAATGGACCGAAATCTCACGATTCTCGGGAAGGTGGGTATGTCTCATCTAAAATATCACCATAATCTAGAATAACCTCATACGTTGGAACCGATGAGTAAGTAATGGTCAGATTCAAGCTAGGGTCACTAGTTTGTGCCAGTTTACTCTTTTGGGGTTATGAATCATTTGAACCAAGAGCCTACTATGCTTTAGGGTAGGAGCAGGTAATTGGCTAGCCACTAGTGTACCTTACAGTGTGGGAGGTGCGGCCACCCCACCCTCAGGGACGGTTTGGCCTTCCAAGGTGGTGTTACAACGTACGTTAAGTATGTTCATCCTTGCATGTGCGTTTGCAGGGGTATATGTAATCTCATCACCTTTTCTAGATTAGTAAAAGCATCCGGTATGCTTTGAGCAATGCTCTAAAGATCTAGAATGCATCACACTTCAGTTTTAGACTAAGGGGTGCGGGGATTTAAATGAGACATAGAGGGAGTAATCCATGACAATTCGTGGCATTCTACAGGAATGTTAGTGATCTTATCTCCCCTAATGACGGGAAAACTATCTCATCGAAGTGACAATCCATAAAATGTGCGGTAAAGAGATCTTCTGTCAAGGGCTCTAAGTAGCAAATAATGGATGGCGAATCATAATCGACATAAATTTCCATTTTTCTTTGAGGACCCATTTTGTTACGTAGTGGGGACGCTATTGGCATTTTGACTGCGCACACAAACACACGTAAATGTGAAACATCAGGCTCGTATCTAGTAACCAACTGTAACGCTGAATGATGTTGGGTAGCGGTGAGCCTCAAGCAGACCAACATAGATATGTACAATATTGCATGGCCCCAGACAGATACCGGCAAGTTGGTTCTCATAACCAAAGTTTGAGCTATCATTTGAAGGTGTTTTATGAAAGCTTCTGCCAGGATGTTTTGGGTGATAACAGTGGGTACAAGATGTTTAACATTAATCCCAACAGGTATGCATAATCGTCAAAGGTTTGTGACATAAACTTTCCAGCATTATCTAGTCGAATCGACTTAATCGAATAATTAGGGTGGTGAGCCCTAAGCTTAATAATTTGTGCTAGGAGTTTTGCAAATGCAGCATTATATGTGGACAATAAGTAGATATGTGACCATCATGTCGATGCATCAACCAACAAGTATCTAAATGGTCAGTTGGATAGGTCCTACAAATATCCCATTGAATCCTTTGAAGAAATTTAAGGGGATCGTGAATAATGTTTGTAATTGAGGGTTGAATGTTCAACTTCCCCACGGAACATGCTTTGCAAAGCAGATATTGGGATAAGATTTCAAGTAATGCCCATGAGATACTTTGAGGATATGGCGTATCATATCTCGTCAGGGGTGTCTCATTCAATCATGTCAAAGTAGGAGAGTGTCATGGAACCCAGCCATAGGGCCGGACCACATGGTGTGTCTCGATGGCTCGAATGGTTGTTATGTACAACCCACTTGGGAGACGTTCCAGCTTCTCATGAATACACTTCCAGCTATATTCGTAAGAAGTGATACAAAGAAATTCAGAACCATTCGCTTAGGTGATTTCAACATGATATTGATTATCTCGAATATCTTTAAAACTCAGCAACGTTCTTCCAGAACGTGGAGAATAGAGTGCCTCTTTAATGGTTAACTCAGTACCATTAGACAACATTATCCGTGTCTTTCTGTATCCTTTTATCAGGTTGGATAGGCCTAAGAGGGTTGTAAGAGGTGCATTCTTAGGTATGAAGTTAGTAAAATAGTATTTCTCATGCAATATGGTGTGCATAGTTACATTATCAGTCAGACAACTAACTTCTCCATTAGTCATACCTAGAAATAAATTAATTGAATCAGTCACATGCATTAATATAATTCCATTCATTCAATTAATCAATTCAAGAAATAATATCCATAAAATAACTATCCATAATTCAAAACAAACCAAAACCAAACAAATAATTCTAAAGACTTAGAAAAATTATCCGAAAATTAAACCATAAACCTAAGAATTTAGGAGGGGTTCGGCCACTAAGGGTATAAGAACACCCTAACATGTTTTTAGAAAAATAAAACTTTATTCTTCCATAGAAGCGGATGCCTCCTTAAAATCCAAAACCTCCAAAGTTGTAGTAGCAATTTCGGGATGTTCCACATGCACAAAGTTAGTCTACTGACAGGAATGATACTTGACAATAGCATTAGGGTTAGCTCAGTATACGCGTGACCAATGATCATTTGATCCACAGCGGTAACACATGTCCA